CAGGGCAACATGAGGAGTCTACTAGTCTGGTGGAATGCAGCCAGTTCGGGGGATGGGAGGTGAGAGGGTTGGGTGATTCGAATGACATGCGTGGTAAGATGGAATGTGCATGTTCGTGCACACTATCTCGACGGATGAATGATCTAAACTGGAACTGGTCAAATACAGCTGAACGTTGAGCATGAATAAAATTGAAATCACTTAAGGCATCGCAAGTATTGATTGGGTGCTGCAGGTAAAAGTGGAAATTCTTCGGGTCACATGCTATCGATCGATATCGATTGAAAATATCGGTTTTTGCGCAGAGGGCTCGAATGAGGTTGGGAATCACAGTGTTGATTGGGGGCCGTGGTAAAAGTCGAAATTCTATCGGGTCACATGCTATCGATCGATATCGATTGAAAATATCGGTTTTTGCGCAGAGGGCTCGAATGAGGTTGGGAATCACAGTGTTGATTGGGTGCTGTGGTAAAAGTCGAAATTCCTCTCGGGTCACATGCTATCGATCGATATCGATTGAAAATTGTTTTGCAGAGGGGTTCGGTGGGGAAGCGGTTCACAGCATTGAGTGAAGTGGCAGAAGTGAAACTCTACACCCATGGGTCATGGAGCGATCTCAATCGGAGTGTCGGTTTTACGAGGTTGCCTCGAAAGGAATAGTAGTACACAGTACTTGATTGGGGAATATAAATAGGAAGGCAGAATTCAACGCATTCATTGATCGTCGATCAAGCTTCACTGAAATATTGGTTTGTGTGCAGCATGGAAGAGTAAATGAGCAGGGGAACAACTGAAGAACAGCCAATGCACGAGTTCTTCCGGGAGACTTTGGAACAAAAATCTTTTTTACATCTCATGTCTGCTCGTTTCACGTATACTAAGCTCCACCATATCAGCATCAAGAAACAGAATCAAGAAGCCAACATGATAGCTAAAATCGAAAACATGGGTGGCTGCTTCATGTTCCCTGGAGTGTAAAATCCAGGACATTTCAGGTTCATTACCAGATTCCGATTTCGTTTTCCTTATGTCCCTCGCTTTTTTCACAGATTCGATCAAGCTAATCAAATTCCTACTCAAACCGCTCCTCTGCCGTATTCATAGTAGCCAGCAAATCGAGTAGCTCAAGTGATATTCAAGACACTGTCGCTACAACAGAAGGAATCTTTCGAAAAACCCACTGAAAGTTGCGCTTCTCAAAAAACACCGCGAGAACCCGTGCAGTCCCACATGTGAGCTGGAGCCACGACGTTCGAGTGAGCGATGCGGTCTCAACCCCAAAACTTATGCGGGCTTCAATGTGTTAGGAAGCAAGTACCATAAAGAGGGAGAGCATCGAGAAAGTATGTGCCGCACGAAGCAGTGGCTGTCAAGGAATCGAATTGTGGCATGCACGAAGAAGGCTGCGTTGGTTGTAGAGCAGTATTTGGAAAGCGCTTTGCTCTGAAGGCGCTCAACCCACAACTTTGAGTGGTGATTTGGGCGAGCTGTGTTGCAGCACAACTGGAGCAACCTAACTGAAACATGGCGTGGTGCCACCAAGCTCGTTGCGGCAAACTCGTACACAGGTCCGCAGAGACGTGAATTAAGGATGGAGGAGCAAGGCTAAGTTTGTTAGCGTTGCTCTTATAGATATTTGCCGGGTCATTTTTGAGAAGTTTCCCATTTCATCATACATATTCCCCCCCCCTCCCTGCTCAGTGCGCATCTGCAGGAACAGGTTAAGCGTGTCACGTTGTCTCAGAATCAAGTGCTATAGAAACATCCATGGTAGTGAGGGTGGAAGGTAGCAGAATTTTTGATATTCTGAGAACCGCATACTTAACGCCGCTGCCCCGCAAGCTTAACCTCCGCCCATTACAATAGAGTGACTCATGCTCTACCCATCCCTCATTTTTGCTGGTCTCTGGGATGTACAGGAAGCAAAAACATCAATTTTTCAGCGAATTTTTATTTTCGACGCACGCCCCGCCCACTGGAGGCGGAGTTTATGGCCAATATATTCCCCTTAAGAGCGACTCATACTCTACCCATTCCAAACTTGACCCGCCCTCCTTAGGTGATTTTTGAAGGAAGAATTATAAACATGTTGGGGGACACTTGCGAATTTTTGGGGAGCGGACAAACAAACTTTGTTTATATATTATGTAATATGATCTCAGCCATGAATCACTCGCTTGAGATCTACCATCCACGATAAGAATGAAAAGAACAGAAAAATTGCATTTGTTTTGGTAAAAAAAAATCGAAAAACCGAAGGGCTGCTACGCGTTCAAAGTGCCGCCGGACATCTGTCACAAATGCTGGCGACGGGAATGCTTCCACTTGGTTCTTGGAGTGCCTTCACTAGAAACTCTTTCTGGCCTTTGACTTATTGCATTCACATCTCACACTTCTACTCCATCCTATTCTATCGATCGATTTGTCTCTACTCTCCAAAATCGCACGCTTTAACCCGATTCTTTCATTGCGTCGCCTGATTCTTTCCATGCCCCGCCTTTGGCTCCGCGCCTTTTACCTTCGATTGTCCATAGAGTGTAGTTTTTGTACGTTTGTTTCTCTTCGGAAACCGAATCTTCATGCGTGAAACTTTGTGTGCTGTTTCCAGTGATCACAACTGACACATTCATGTTAGGAAAGAATGCAAGAATTTTCCGCGAAGATTCCTTCAAACACCCCCATGCCCCTCTGAATCAGGGTCAACCCTATGCTGGTATAATTACCAACGAAGGAGGCGTATTTGAATCAACTTGTGGGGGGGGGGTCGTACTCGCGGTGGTCGGCAGTGGAAGCAAAGCCCTTTACCCCGCATAAACGCAGGCATAAAGCTTGCAGAAACAGCAGCAGAAAATCATGTAACTTCTTTCAAAGGGACGACACCCTGCACCATGATATGGATTTAGCCACGAAATCACAGGTGAAACTGAGGTGAAAATGGAGCATTGCCTGAACCAACATGGATAATAGCCACCACGTTATGTTTACGCAAAATACTGATACTAGAGCATCTATCAGCTCGCGCTTCCTTCCAAATGAGCTTTCAAATGAATCAGCGAATTAGAAGCGCGGCCGAGGCGTGGCGCACACCAAGGCAGGGGATGTCAGCAAGCGCATGCTCGAAGCTTTCTAATACATTCTGAGTTCAGCATGGATTTCGTTTTCCGGAAAGCTACGAATAGTTAAACCAAAAAAACATCGAAACCTTCGAGCAAATGGCTTGTAGAAAGCCCTTCCAAAAAAGTCCCAACGGGACTAATTTTTTGGAAACTTTTTGCAAAGTTTCAGTACTTTTAGAAAGCTTGAATCCTGTAGTTTGTCATACCGGGTTCAGCTTCCCAAATGAATGACTTTGAAGGAAGTTATGATCGTTTGAAGGTTGAAAAAGTCGCATTTGCACAGAAAAAAGTACCAACGTGCTAAATTTTTATTAAATTAACTTTCGAAGAATATTCAACAACCCTCAGAGAGGAGAGACTCACTTGGATTTTTCTAGTCCTAAAACTCCGGCGCAAAAACTTGAAATTGATGGAAGTTATGACTCTCGAAAGGCGAAGGTAAAATTTGTATTGCAATATTATTCCTTTCTAATTAACGTAATGGGCGGAAGTGGTGTAGTGGCAAGTGGCGCGCTTACCACGCGAGCGGTCCGGGGATCAAATCCTGGGTCGTGAGTCGCCCGGGCCAACCAAGCCTTCCATCCCTCCGGGGTCGGTTAATTGGTACCAGACTTGTCTGGGAGGATAAAAACACTGACTTGTACATCGGCTGGCCCCCGCAAGTCATTGTATAGGCCACATCGCATTCAAACGCCACTACGAATGTACAAATGGAAGTAGAATGCGTGCCGCATCCCAAAAAGGGATTGATCAACGGCAAATGCTTTATCCTTTTTATCCTAATAACGTAATCATTTTGAATTGCCTAAGAACAAGTAAGCATCAGTTAGAAAGAAGAGTCTCGCTGATCCAAAACCCACCTCGATCTTCCGAAGTACCTGAAATTTAACAAAGAAAATTCGTCTAAATTTCAGTATCCCCGTTCGTCGCCTGTTCACGGTCAGCAAACGCGCTCCATCGTCAGGATGCCAATGAGCGCGATTCAGCACATTCAAAACGCGATTAACGTCGCATTGCATTTCAATAATTATTGCCCGGTCTTCCGAAATTTAAAAGCTTCGCACCTGTTTGCCAGGTGAGTTGGGGGGAGCATGCGGCGGCGCCGCGGAGGGGCTCGTACCAGAATCCCCGTGAAGGGGGGGGGATCGTAAACATTTCCAAAAAAGTACCAACGCCAGGGTCCACCCTGCTCTGAATCTCTCTGGAACCTACCGTAACCATTGCTTTCAAACATGAATGTTTTCATGCTCTCCAGGACCTACAAAACTGCATGATTGTCGGCCCTTCTTTCATGATGAGTTCAACTCCACTATCTATGCTCAATATAAAGGTAAAATGCTGTTTGTTACATAACAGCTGACAATGAGAGCAAGTTGCCACAACGGGCAATTTCTTCGCGTGGATCTGGGCAAGGCATGTGAACTCCATTAAAAGAATCAATTTTGGAGAAAAATATCATCATTGCCTCCTACACGTGAGTGAAAGCACAATGATCGACGACAAAATGAATCCACTGGAACGTACGAATGATTTATCAAGCACAAATATAAGGGGGAATCATCGTAAAGCTTATGCGTCCAAACGGTAGGGTACCAACAGAATGAAATCAATAACTTTTGTATTCAAAAACAATCACATTTGAACGTCGATCATAAATGAACCATGTACAGTAGCGATATAGCATTTACAAATAGAAAATGTACAGTAAAAAGGCCTACAAGGAATATTCGCACCCATGCGATAGACTATATTTTATCCTACAACAGCACAATATATTATGTTCGATATAAGAGAATAGATAAAAAGAAAAGAAACTCAACATATTACAAAGCAGCGGGATGCTTAAAACGAGCGCAGCTCAGCGATGACCATCCTTCATTGACATCATTTCTGAAAAAAAAATGATGAATGCATCAGTGTTGGGTGAGACGCACTCGCATGATAAATTTGCGAATGGTGTGCGCTCAGCATGACGCGACCTTGCGTCTCCAAATGTGCCACGTGCCACAAATTTGCGCCCAAATGTCGGCCACGTGGCACGAACTCGCCGTACGCCGCGCGCAACGTGGCATGACCAAAATGCGCAGCACCTTCGTAAGGTTCCAATCATAGCTCGTGACTTGGATGACAAGCGATTCCGCCGAAAAGAAGTAGCACATTTCGACTGAAAATTTGCCGTTAAGCTGAACGTATTAGGTGTGCATCGATTCGAACGACTCCACCCCGAGACCGTCAAAGTAGTGCGTCATTGATCCTTCTGCTCGACACTTAGGATTGCGGTTCGCTCAGACAGAAAGCGACCCTTACGCTTTTCCCAGCGCGAATTTTGGGATCCCTTGGTCCACCACTATGAGAAGTGAGCCTGGGGTTCTCGCAGCGAAACAACTTGCGTGCGAAAAGCGAAAATTTGCTTTCTGTCCTAGTGAACCACACCCGACGCTTATGATTAGAGTCCTTCCACCGTACTTAGGAATCGCCAAATAGCCGGTTCGCCAAATCACCCAAAAAATGAGCTATGAGCGTTTCCCAAAAGCCAATTGCCAACTAATGCTGTCGCGAGAGACGTTTACAGTCGTGATGAATAAATATCGCTCAATGGAACCACTTACTTTCGGTGGGGCGGTTGACGGTGGATGTTGAGTTGGTGCTGAAGTAGGATTGGCGCTAGCTTTCCTCTGTTGGACTAGTGCGGCAATATTATTCAAAACTTCTCCAGGCGCATATTGTCGTAACAACTGATTCTCACTTTCCAAAGTAGAGACCTGAAAGAAATTCCGTCAATTCAAACTTGGTTACTACTGCGTGCTCGAAGAATGGCAAAGACCAAATGCCTTTTGGCATTCCAAACCGCTTTTGCAACGACTTTATTTGGTTTAGAGGAGCAACTGATCACAACGAAAGGATGCAACAAGGAGTAGATGAAGAAGCAAAACAAATTCGAAACATTCAATGTAATGCAAAATCTGTGATGCCGCATTCAAAATACTTGTAAAAGATGACACGAAAACAATTTTGTAACCACTCCGGAATTTTCAAATTGTTTGCGTGATATGGCGACATTACCGTAAATCAACGAAATCGCATCGTGCTAAGAAATTGAACCACAACCCCAACTTTATGATCACAATATTCTCCTGAATCCAAAATAGCAGTCAATTACCAAGAGCAAGATATCGAAAGATATACGACTCTGCTAAGCGATCCTCGAACTGTGCAGATGTAGATGAAAATGTAGATGAACGTATGAAAGCAAATAGGCATGGAACGATAGAAGGAGTTATTGAAATGCGCTCGTTTATCACACAATTACACAATAGCAGAGCAGTTGATGGGAATGGTCAGAAGTGGTGCAGTTGAAAATGGAGCTCTCTACATATGCAAGGGTGTGGTTCACTAGGACAGAAAGCGACACGAAAAATTTTCCGCTGCGGGAACCCCCGCTGATCATCAGTGGACCCGAGGTTCCCGCAGCGAATCATCAGTGGACCCGAGATTCCCGCAACGAACAATGTTTCGCGCTGCGAAACGCGAAAAAGTCGCTTTTGTTCGAGTGAACCACACCCCATATGTACGGTTCGAAGATTGAATTCCGGATCGTATGTCATCCAATCCAATCGACTCCATTCCCCTTCACTACCGGATCGATTACGGCCGATGTCATAGTTTGCGAATCGAGCGATTCGCTAGCGAATCGCTGGATCCGAGCGTTGCGCCAGCGAATCGAACGTTGCACCAGCGAGTCGAACGATGTACCAGCGACTCAATAGTGGGACCCAACGTTTTAAAGGAAGCCCCTTTCAAACAGTGTCCACGTGAGTCGCTGGTACATAGTTCGACTCGCTGGTACATCGTTCGATTCGCTGGTGCAACGTTCGATTCGCTGGCGCAACGCTCGGATTCGCTAGCGAATCGCTCGATTCGCAAACTATGACGTCGGCCTTAAATGGTACCACTAGGTCGGTTAAACGGTCTAGGAGGATCAAAACACTGACGTGTGCGTCGGCTGCCCCTAGATCAGCTGTCCCACCTCCAATACATTGTAAAGGCTGAATTGTTTTCGAATGCCATTGCGATTCTTTATGTAAATTGAATGCGTGGCTCACCTCAGAAAAAAATTGATCAACGAAGAGTTATGTGTTATTCTGTTATTGAAGGAAATACCAAACCAAAAATTAGAACTAGTCTCAAGTGATTGAACTATTATAATTTTAGAGATTTCTTATACACGTTGGTCTGAGATGACCCGTTAGAAAAGTCAGTCGGAAAATTACTAGAAGATTGCTTCTCAAAAATGTGAAGAACATTTGCAAGATCTCGGAGGTTCTCAAAACGCCTGGTTTAATGAGTTCTTGTTTCTGCAATTCACCACGATGACCAGCAATCATATGACCATCACTATGACCCAATAAAAAAGCAATCCGAACGCAGAACAAAATTATTGTTATTAATGGAGCTATATGGGACTACAAGACACAAAAAAATGCAAATCAAACAAACATTGAACAAAAAGAAACCAACCCTCTGTTCAAGCTCTGCAATAGTTTGTCGTAGAACCTCCACTTCTTCTCGGACAGCAAAAGTTAGATGGGTTTTCACCAAGTCCTGAATAGATTACAGTAGAAAACTTTTTTAAACCTTTACGAATCCTATTGCTGTGCTGTGATCGTATTGAACTGAATTAAAGATATTAATGTCCATCTAGACAACACCTCAACTATAATACGCTACTTCAATGAACTTAGATTGTTTTTTGAACTTTTGATCACTAATATCATTGACTAACATTACTTGCTGTGCTTACGTTTCCTTGACTATGAGCCCTATGCCACACTCGTGTATCCTGAGGAATTTTATATCCCTCGTCTGGCAGGGCATAAGCCAGCAAGCTTAACCAACGGCCTCAGGCTGGTGTCAGAGTCCGCGATCCGTCGCAGGTTTCGCTGATTTTCGCGCGATTTGCGCGATTCACGCGACGGGTCACGGAAATCACAAGTGCCCGATCAATACTGCAAGGTGTTCTCCAATCCCCACTTCTGCTTGATAGTGATGGCTGAATGACGACTGCTCATGATTCCACTTGTTTCATATTCAGTGTTTCAAATGTTCAAATGGGGCACTTGCAATTTTTGCGCAAATCGCGCAAATCAGCGAAACCTGCGATGGATCGCGAACTCTGTCACCAGCGGAAGAAGATGAAATTTTGAATTAACACCTTGACGACAGCGCGGCAACTAGGTTTGCCGCGTTTTGCACGCCGCAATGGACATTGTGGCAACTATAGTTGCCACACCCTTTACATTCAGTTTTTTCTTGAACGCGCCATTTCTTCCCAGGTTTTTTGTGTTCATTTTTTAGGCCATACCACAACATAACCAAGAACCACGCGGCTTATAGAATGACCAAATATTCTTTAGTTTGGCAGAGGTTTTTCGGACCGGACGAAAATATCCGTTCAGTTCATTCCTCATTTTCTCTTCATTAACACGAACATGTAGATAAAAAAGAATATTAGAAGTGAGTACAAAGCTACTCGTGTGGCAAGATATGTGTTTTTACCGAAACAACCACGTCCAAAATAATTTTGAAATCACTAAAGCAAAAGTAAGTGAAACTTGCCTTTTCAATGCTGTAACACATCATTCGACCGCACTTTCACATGTGTACCTTCCAATAAGTTTGACACACCGAATATCAGTGAAAACATTTTGTCGCATCGAAGTATTGCGTATTAAAGCTCAAAATCCACAGATTTGTTGTGAGGCGGCGGCGCTCGCAGAACCGCTCTGGTCCCACGCGGCCAAAAATGCCAAAACGCGCGATGTCGTCAGGTTTTAACCAGATGCGAGACGTGTGAAATGTAACCGATAGAGAGTTAATATTATTCTGGCCATAGATTTCACCACGAGGCAATCGTGCAGGGACATAGACACTGGAAACGGTGGCTCTGTAGCAAATGCTGAGCGCGCAACAACACTTGCCAAGTCGTGCTCGCCGTGCGGAAAATACTACCCCCTTCGCAGGATTTGCTCCAATCCTTTCCAGAGAGCGCAACCAGAATCATAATCAAGCACTTGCCTTCCGCAAGCCGATCGGCAGTGATGCTATGAATTGCAACGAGATCAACGGTACACTGGTTATATGACTAGTCCTCACGCTCTTTCTCCGTGCTTCGCGTAGCTCACGCGTTCAATAATAAGGCTTACCTGACCCAGCAGGAGGCTCATGGACGGGCTGCGACCAACTCCCTTGTTTTCCACTTCACATTGGAGAGAGATGTGTTTGATAGAAAGCAATAAAAAAAATAATGATTGCACGATCAGAAATGGTAGCTCCCGTCATCATGCATCAGACGGCTGCGCTGCGCAACTTTTTGCGGTTTTGCCGTTAAAACTCTGCGGGAAGCTCTTCCTCCAACAACACGCCGAAGCGAGGCGGCATGTGCAGCCGCGGCCAAGGTCGGATGTCACACTCCTCGGGGGTTCTCATCCCTGCTATACTTTTTACGTACATTTTTACTTTTACCAACTCTCACAAACTTCTTCTCTAGGGGAAGCCTGCTCTGGGGAATAAATTCAAAAATTCTTTCAGACTTGGAGAAAACCGCACACAGCCCCATCTTTTCTACAGACCACCTGACTGCCGCATCAAATATACCGAATAATCATAGCTTACCATTGCCTGTTCGATCTTATTGTCGATTGCAACCACGTTAGGAGCCGTGACCGGTGCACCGTTTCCAGAAGGCGGACTGAAGTAAAGTACTATAAAGTACAAAACAAACATAACACTGAGGAAGGAGAAGAGAGAAGATCTATTGGATCTACATTAACACGTGACGCAGGTAACGCGTCTCACTTTGCGCACCTCGTGGGACATTGTGACGCGGTAACGCGTCCCACCCAAGTCATCCCTTTTTCTTGCGCTTGTGCGACTTATTCCTAAGGTCTTTGTACTCATTCTATAGGTCATTAGCATACTTAAAAACCACATGGCTCACAGAAAGGCCAAATATTCTTTAGTTTGGCAGAGGTTTTCCAGACCTTACGGATATGTCTGTTCAGTTCATTCCTCGTTTTCTTTTCATAACGTAGAACATGTTGATAAAAAGGAATAACAGAAGTGAATACAAACCTATTCGTATGGGAAGATATGTGTTTTTACTGAAACAACCACGTCCAAATTAATTTTGGAACCACTAAAGGGAAATAAGTAAAATTTGCCTTTTCATGGCCTTAACACGTCATTTCGGTCAAACTTCCATTACTGTAACTCCCGATAAGCTTAGACAGATCGAACATCATTGAAAACATTTCATCGCATCTAAGTATTGCGTATTTACAGCTCAAAATCCATGGATTTGGTGTGCGGCGGCTGCGCTCGCAAAATCGCTCTTGTCCCACGCGGTGCAAAAGCACAAAACGCGCGATGTCGTCAACGTGTTAAAAAACCTTAATCAGAACAAAAAGATCATGTCCCGATCTTACGTTATTGCTACCTTCTTTCCTTTCTATCCGAGGCTGTCCATGATTACTTGAAACGAGTTATGCGATCAGCATAATTCAATGTTAGACAACAATGATGTACAAATACTCACATATCCTCTTCTCCTGGTGAATTAGCTCCTGTTGATGCTCCCTGAGCAGCAGCAATCTGTAACGTTTACGAATAAGACAAACATGCTGAACTCTACTTAAAAAATTTACAAACTTGGTTTTTGTATTGAAATAGAAATTTATCCATGGAGTTATTGAGCATTACCAAAGAAAAAATCCTTCAGTTAGAGACCATAAGGGTTCGTGCGTAACCATCTAGGTCTTGCACAAATGGAAACAGTATTGTTTCAGTAAAGCACTGAGCACTGGGTTAGTCATTTTGTTGTTACAAGATCATAGCAAGCAAGCAAGCTGTACGCTTCATCCAGGAGCAAAAGCAAGAGCATAACATTTTTCTGAAACTAAACTGAGACAGCATGTTTTGAAAAAATTGAAGCAATCAGGTAATACCACGCAAAAAAAAACAGATGTTGGAATTCAAAAATTAGTCAGTTACTAGAGAAGAGACAAAGTAGAGGACAAAATCATGCAAAAACTGCACTTTTCCAAAGAAAGATGGGCTTTAGCCTCCGCTTATGACATCTGCAGCGCAAGTTCATTAAATGGTGGTTTGTCAGAGTTGATCAATGCTTCGCTTTATTTAGTTTCCAAAAAACAGAACATGACCGGTGGTGCTCTGTCCAAAAAGGTGTCAGTACACTCGTCTTCTTCCTTCCGCTGTATTCGACCTTCTTTCATGGGCAGGAAATCGCGCAAACGGCGCCGTTATAGTTGGTGGCTTTCTACACGACAGCGTTTACCCATCGAAATACGCCCAGACATAAACCCGGCAGTTGAAAGACCGAAGCACTCACTGAGTGGCAATAGGTGGAATGTGTGAGATTCAACAGTCATTACGGTGAACGGCTTACCCACCACTGAAACCTTCTCGGCACATGTTTAGGCGCTACTTTGGGCGAGAGGGCACAAACGAGCTGAAACAAGCACCACCGACTTCCACAACTACAGGAGCGTAGTGGTGGCAGGCGACACTTGCCGTGCGTAGTGCCGGTATCGTAAATACCAGGACGTTTACGGACTGGTGTTTGGGAAATAAGTCATGACGGATGCTAGCTAACACTCTCCCATCGCATCCGTACCCCAGTTCGAGAACAACTTTGCGCCTGCAGTGAAACTATTACAAATCAAAAAAAAATTAGACCACCCTTTGCCAAAACTATTTCAAGTAAACAGCTATTAGCAGACATGATAGAAACCATCACCACTCACAAAATTGTTTGGCACTCAAATGATAATGATAATGATCATAAAACTCTGTCAAAAAGAATTGACACGTCAATTCTTCACGTCACGGATCACCAAAGAAAAACAAAATGTGCACTGTGCTGATTAGAAAAACTATAACTAAAATCATAAAATCTGATACTGAGACTTTTGAACGACAATACGATGCTTTGAAATTCACATTTAGACTTGCCCACCTACCCAGAGCTACTCAAAATTGATTATTCCGAAAAAAAGAGTAACGCTGTGACAAATGGATCAACTCAATAACATGATGTCGCATGTGGTACAACGAATTTCATGTTTTTAGACAATGTCAGTTAACTGTCTGAAGCTCAGGTGTTCATCGCATGGTCATACGCGCTGCTGATTAATCGCAATATGTTCGAACAATGAAAGACGAACGCAAACGAAAAGAAGCAGAACACATACAATAGCGATCAAAAATTTAGGAACTTTTTCATTTCAAATCTAGCGCGGCCGATAAACAAAAGAAATGTCTCAAATTCACATATCATATAGAAAATACGATCTTTCTTTAGGAAATGGCTGAGAGTTTGGAAAATTCGCGAGTCCTTCACCATTATAATTTCTGTCTTCATTGTTTGCATGCTTTTGTAAATTTAGTTTCGTCATTGAGTGTTTCCAAATGAATTCATCTAACATGGAATTACATCCCTAGCCGAGGTTCGTCCAGACCCTTCAGTCCGTAACCCTGGAGTCCATAACACAGAAAGACTGTTTCCCAGAAGTACAATTTCTGCGAAAGCACTATTGTTAAGATTTTCTATTGTTGTCTAAGTATAGCAGGCATAAGGAGAACAATCCTCCACAATCACAGCTTCACAAAAAACTGAGATCTTCGAAGAGTGGTCGACCGGTCTCGTCCCCTCTGCATGCTCAACCAAGAAACAACTTTTCTGGTTCTTCTAGGTCGAATGAGAGTCTCAATGTTGTCCAATACTGGCCAGGATCTGACCAACATAACCGCAGATAAGCCAATAAAAGCCTTTGTTGAGTTTTAAGAAGGAAGACCCGACTAGTGCGCAAGGTATCGGATGACCTGGACCCAAGGCAAGAGGTGAAGAATTGTGTTTAAGGACCCTTAGAATTTCTGCCTCCTTTTGAATGGTGTAAACTTTGTGAAGTTTTCTGCCAACAGGAAACCTAATTTTAGGCACCAAATTCTGATAGAAAAAGTGGACGGGTTGTCATAGACGAAGATGTGCCTGACCATTCTGGGATATCACAGTTTTCAATATCAAAGAGATGGGGGCTGAAGCCATACGACGGTCTGAAGAATACAATGCTCTTTGAAGGCAAGAATAATCCGATAAAAAGCGATGCAAACACAGAAATGGTAACTATTCACCAAATCCCCAGTTTCATTTTTTTCTGGATTTGAGAGCAATGAAATTGATATTTAAAAAATCGGGTTTTCCAATTATTACTCTCAAAATATAAAAAATTTCAACACATCGTATTCTACACTTGATTTTGAATGAATTGCAAATTTGAGGCAATTTCTTTATTTAGTGGCCGCACTATGGCAAAAACAAATTCAAACTTCTGATCGCTACCGTAATTAATATTTCAGCGATTTGCAGCTGTTTCCTAAGCCTCTGACCTGATTAGGATAGCACTTTCCTTAACTTCCTTCAAGAGAACCTGTCAAGGCGACTGAGAAGCAAATATGTTATGATTGTACAATCGAAACCGACATTACTTCTAGACAACCTAATAGATACGATGAACATCCGGTCCACGACAAGTTGAAAGAAAGTGCCTTGTCTTTTGTTTTCACATTCTCAAAGAATTCACCGATGTCAGGTCAGCCAACGGAACTGGACTCACAGTACGGAGTCCGAACGCCACCACCCAGAGACTAGCAGCGACGCTGGGCCGTGCCCACATAACAGTTGTACATGGGGTAGAGACAATCGGTAAGTTCACCAAGCTTATCTTGATTGCCCTCGGCTCATCGTTGCCATCTCACAGAGCAGGTGCCATCTGCCTCTCTCCTCACTCTCAGAAGCAGCACAAGGTTCTCAAGTTGCTGACTACACCTTGTTCCATTATTTCGATGGTGTAGAATATGAAATGCCGTTAATCTCACAATTCCAACCATCAATTCTTCTCATCTTCAATTTAGTTACTTAAAATAAAATATCCTCTCAAAGTGAGTTGCAACATAAGATCGTAACGTTTTTTCAATGTACGTATATCACTTGGAAGCATTTTTTCCATAAGATGTTTGATATTTTTTCACTATTACAATGGTTCTTATCGAATCTTACTTATTCGACCCTAATTTTTTTTATTCAATTTTGAATGAGATTTATGTCGTGCAAATTAAATAGGAACAATGAGAACTTCGAAAGTGGCTAAATACTTTTTCTTTATTCCATAACCAGTGATTTCCTGCGACTGGAATCAAAGTCGTGAATATCAATAAGACAACATCAGACTAGCTTCATGTGTCTCATTTTTTGCTTCAAACGGTTGTGCGGAATGCAAGCGATACGATATTATGTTCTAATCGTAATGAATTAGGAGTGCATACAAAACGTTTTCAAAAGATATTCTTGGAGAATTCCCTCAACTCTCGCATTACTATTAATATAAATAAGGCCCCATTTAAAAAATGATATCCGAACTTAGTACCTGCTAAACTACTGGCTCTTCAGCCATCATTGGCGCTTCTTGAATAAAAAAATCAAGAACGAGAATGAACTGCGAGCAGTCGGCAAAGAACATGTAGAAGTGTTTCAGATGCTTGAAAATAGCGAAGGCGACGAAGCTCACACTGCATGTTTTTACAATAGGGTGTTTCGCATAGAGACCCCCCTCCTCCTCTCCTAATACTACAATGGCGCCTAAATGTACTATTATGCTTCAACAAAGTACACCTCAGCAGATTTCTTTACTGACTTAGGGAGGCGTTTTTTCAATACACGTAACCCTTAATAAGAGATACCACGGCGCTCATGTCGTTAGGGAGGGGGCATTGATGTGAGGCAGCTACAGAACTGGAGACTTAGCCGCAGGGAGGAGAATGAATCCTGGGGGAAGACCTGAGCAACCCTTGTTCTCCCTGGCGTTTCTCTCCTCTCCCGGGGTTAGTCCTAGTGTCATGTATCAACGATTTCTGAATGACGGCTTTGACTGACCCGTCTAAGGACGTGACCGCCACTGCCACAACACATAACAGACCAGGTAACTGCATATCGGGAGCACCCGACTACGGCTGCACTGGGCCAAACTGCAGAATTTCGGTACAAAAAGAGTGTGGAAGGAAAGCAAATCTACAAAATGGACGATTTTTAAAGAAGTGTCTTCATTCATAGCCACACCAATTAAAAAAAACGAATGTGTTGGATAACCACTAACGTAGATTGCATTAGGCAAATCGTAATCGCGCCTAAATACAAACGCAGAAAATAAACCTCACAACTAAATAAGGAACTTTCGTTGGAGGACAACTAGACAATATAAATGTTGCGGAGCTGACATACCTGAGCAGATTCGAGAGATCCTGTATCCAAAGGCGGCATCTGAAAAAGAAGACCTGTAACATCTAATAGCAAGTTACGGGACCTTAACTAATCTTCATCTGCATAGCAAGCGACAACCTGCTTTGTTAATACAGGCCATAGGTGGTACTTAATTTGCGAATGAATTGATGCGAACAAAAGCCATAGCCATGATGATGCAGTTACATCCTTAGTATTCCTCAGAATTTTCGAAGAAAGATACTCAACAACCAGTGACGTATCCAGCGATGTAAATTCACCCAAATCAGTTACGAATGTAAGACCATATCATACGTGTTCCAAAAACAACATGCGTCAGGTCATCCCTGACTAGTACACCTCCGCTTTTGCTCGTAGCAAACCTAAGCCTGAGCACAACCTTAGGCTTCAATCATCGCGCAGCTCTAGCCTTCAGAACTGAACGCTACCACAACAACACGAGGAGATTGAAGTGGAGGGAGGTGGTGGAGAGAAATCTCGATCTTTCCACAGCACAAGGAGCGCAAATCGTGACGCTTTTCATTTTCGTTAATGATGAAACTTCATAGCACCACAGTATAATATATTCCTGAAGCGCTAAAAGCAAAATGCAGTCGGGAAAGGTTAGTGCTTTGCAGACGTATACATGAAGGATAAGGTAGCGAATGCGGCAAAGTATCATTCGAACTTCCACTGGTCAATTACTTGCGCTGAATTATTCACCTCGCTTAGAGCCATGTGCATACTTAATCCACAATAGATCATGATACTCTAGCCGAGAGTTCGGGCATTGGTTTCAAGGGTCTACCGTCTACTCATACACTGCGTTTCATAAATATAGGTCCACCCTAATTTTTTGCTATTCCAAAGTTGCTGTGCATTTTTGGAAAATGCCGCTATTACCAATAGTTTCCCCATAACGAAAAACCTTGATACTTGATTTCTGGAGAAATCTCGATTCAGAATTATTAAAATATCTTCCTTAGAACGTATTTTCACCGTTTCGCAAATATGACTACACATCACTTGTCGAGAGATTTTACTATAACGAAAAAACGTCACGAATTTTCAATAATGGGATGACCCCCCAATAATCATAAGGAACACAATAATACGTTTTGAAATGCTGGTAGCCAAATTAGCTATTACAGTAGGATCGAAATTCGTCTGGGCGCCGATGATCGACCTTTTCAGCTTTTCGGCTGTTCCATTTTGCTTTACTTTGCTGTGGAACTTTATAACAATTAAGGCCCAATGATTCTCTATTGGAATCTAATTCAGATAACATGGTGGCCACCAGATAACTATCACATTTTTTCCTGCAATTCCATCTTGCGCGGAGGGAC